ATATATATATATATATACATATATAAGTATATATATATAAAGAGAATGTTGTGATGATGTGTGATTTTGATGAGTTCAAAATAAAAAGTCTCTGTAATTTTCTTACTATAAACAATTCTTGCCTATTTTCCTGGGAACCACAAAATTAGTTTCCTTTACTCCACTTTCAAACATGCATGTGAACATAAGTGTTACCAAATGTAACTTTTTGTTTAGTCACCAACCACTTCGCTCATTCCTTATCTATCTATCTAACCTTCAAGATTAAAAAATTTGAATATTGTACTTCTCTCTTTTTTACTCCATCCATGCTTTTGGAGGGTCTCTCTTGATTCTGAGCTATTTCTAACTTATCCCCCAAAAAAAATGTCCCCAAACTAAATCTTGATCGCCAAAACGCCATCTAACTTGAAAAGTATCTGCAAACATGTTTTCCTCGCCAAACTTTCCACAAACAAGACTTAACACACACAAATACACAACCATCACAAAGTTGTACATGTCGCTTTTTTTGTTGTTGTATCTCATCTCTGATTGGCCAGGAAGAGCTGTACTAATCATCAACATGAAACATGGAAACATATAAAATACCTCTGAATGTGTGTGTGTGTGCGACCTAAGTACACAGTACAGAGAGTATGCTATTGCTATGTTAGTACTGCTTAGAGTGAGATAAAAGTTCTGATGAAAATAATCTGTGTATCGCTAATGTTGTTTCACACTTGTTTGTAGAAATGTTAAAGTTTGAACATGGAGATCAGCACTAACAGGTCTGACATTTTTATTCACGTCCATCCGTGTTATAAATTAGACATGTTGAATGTGTTGTTCAGTAACCCGTCTGCAGTCTGCTTCCTGTTCCATGTTTTCCTCAGCTCATTATCTGCTGCCACCGTATGTGGAAACCTGCTGGTAATACTCTCCATCGCTTATTTCAAACAACTGCAAACTCCTTCCAACGCTCTCGTCCTGTCTCTGGCTGTGGCTGACCTCCTGGTCGGGATCATTGTTTTCCCTGTCACCATCGAGTTCCCTTTGACCGCGTGTATTTTTCACCACAATGTGTTTTGCACTGTACGCGGTACTTTCGAAGTGTGCCTGTGCACAGCATCCATTCTGAACCTGTGCTGCATTTCCATCGACAGATACTACGCCGTTTGTCGACCGCTCTCCTACAAAACCAGGATGAACGACAACGTCGTTTTAGTGATGATCCTGCTGAGCTGGACTGTTTCTGCTTTGGTTGGACTTGGTTTAGTTTTTGTGGGGATGAACCAGGCGAACTGCGAGGACTGTTTCGTCGATAAGGTGGTGGCAAACGTGATGGGCCTTATTTTTGCATTTTACCTTCCGGTGGTCATCATGCTCTGTATCTACTTAAAGATTTTCGCCGTCGCACAAAAACAGGCGCATAGCATCCAGAACGCAACGAGCCATATCAGGAAGTCCGGAGGAGCGATCAGTAAGATGGAGAAAAAGGCCACAAAGACATTAGCTACAGTTATGGGAGTATTTCTGATCTGCTGGTTGCCTTTCTTTCTGTGTACCACTGTGATGTCCTTCAGTGGTGCTTATGTTCCGCTCGAGTTTATTGAATTTCTGAACTGGCTCGCACTTTCTAACTCCATGCTTAATCCACTCATCTATGCCTTCTTCTATAGCTGGTTCAGGTCAGCGTTCAGGATGATCGTCTCAGGGAAAATCGTTCATGGCAATTTTACCAACTCAAAGCTACACTAACTGATCTGTGAGATGAAATCACCAAAATGTTACACTGTTGCCGTAACAGTCAGGGTAATTTTTTTTGGTAGGATTTGTACGTAATTGGACATTTTCTATCTGAGATATCTCATCAGAATGATAGGTTAACTGCAGTACTGGTTGTCACCTGACAGGTGTCACTGTTTAGTTGTACGGTCATCCTCACATTTTGCTCTGTTATTTTGAATTTATTTTTATTTATGTATTGCTTTAATGTTGTTTAGTGTAACGTATGGAATGGAAAATAAATGTAAGTAAAGTAAAGTCACATAATATTTGTGGGTTTCTTTCTGTTTTACATTTATATTTCATTTTAGTCTAAACAAAAACAATACAACAATTATGTTTTTTGTGAGGTTGTATATAAACTTTGGACTTTTTGATATCATTTTGCACTTTGTATATATTTTAATTACCTAGAGTTTTTTTTCTCTGTGAGTGGATGGGAGGGTGTGTGTGTGTCCGTGTACAGGTACGTGGTCGCCCGTGACCTCACCGGTGCTGTGTCTACGCTGACAATCACACACACCTGGCACCGATCCCAGCTCATCAGTACGCCTGGTTGTAATCACCTGCACGTTGTCGCCACTATGCTGTGACCGTTTGCTAACTGACATGGTAATCTTTAGGCTCCCTCCCATACGCTCATGAACCCCGTCGCTTTTTTCTAACTCTGAGATTTTGGCCTGCCTCTCTGCAGTTCCTGGTTCTTCACCGTCATCCTCCTCCTCCTCCACTGCCGCTATTTTACATTGATTTCTAAGGGAAAAATATCATCCTCCTCCTCCTCCACTGCCCCAATTTTACATTGATTTCTAAGGGAAAAATTGCTTCAGTTTTCGAACTTTTCGGTTCACGAACAGCCTCCTGAAATTAGATAAGTTGAAAAATCGGGGGGTTCCACTGTACGTTATATTTTACACATTTAAGATTGAATAATCTGAATATTGCACTTCTCTCTTTTTTACTCCATCCGTGCTTTCTGAGGTATTTCACTTGAACCGTATGCATTACCCTATCACTTGATTCTGAGCTATTTCCAATTTATCCCAAAAAAAACATCCCCAAACTAAATCTTGACCACCAAAACGCCATCTAACTTGAAAAGTATCTGCAAATATGTTTTCCTCGCCAAACTTGCCACAAAAGAGACTTAACACAGACAAATACACAACCATCACAAAGTTGTACACCTTTCTTTTTTTTGTACAGTAGTTGTATCTCATCTCTGATTGGCCAGGAAGAGCTGTACTCATCATCAACATGAGACATGGAAACGTATAAAATACCTCTGAATGTGTGTGTGCGACCTAAGTACACAGTACAGAGAGTATGCTATTGCTATGTTAGTACTGCTTAGAGTGAGATAAAAGTTCTGATGAAAATAATCTGTGTATCGCTAATGTTGTTTCACACTTGTTTGTAGAAATGTTAAAGTTTGAACATGGAGATCAGCACTAACAGGTCTGACATTTTTATTCACGTCCATCCGTGTTATAAATTAGACATGTTGAATGTGTTGTTCAGTAACCCGTCTGCAGTCTGCTTCCTGTTCCATGTTTTCCTCAGCTCATTATCTGCTGCCACCGTATGTGGAAACCTGCTGGTAATACTCTCCATCGCTTATTTCAAACAACTGCAAACTCCTTCCAACGCTCTCGTCCTGTCTCTGGCTGTGGCTGATCTCCTGGTCGGGATCATTGTTTTCCCTCTCTCCATCGCGTTCCCTTTGACCCCGTGTATTTTTCACCACGATGTGTTTTGCGCTGTACGCGGTACTTTCGAAGTGTGCCTGTGCACAGCATCCATTCTGAACCTGTGCTGCATTTCCATCGACAGATACTACGCCGTTTGTCGACCGCTCTCCTACAAAACCAGGATGAACGACAACGTCGTTTTAGTGATGATCCTGCTGAGCTGGACTGTTTCTGCTTTGGTTGGACTTGGTTTAGTTTTTGTGGGGATGAACCAGGCGAACTGCGAGGACTGTTTCGTCGATAAGGTGGTGGCAAACGTGATGGGCCTTATTTTTGCATTTTACCTTCCGGTGGTCATCATGCTCTGTATCTACTTAAAGATTTTCGCCGTCGCACAAAAACAGGCGCATAGCATCCAGAACGCAACGAGCCAGATCAGGAAGTCCGGAGGAGCGATCAGTAAGATGGAGAAAAAGGCCACAAAGACATTAGCTACAGTTATGGGAGTATTTCTGATCTGCTGGTTGCCTTTCTTTCTGTGTACCACCGCGAGGTCCTTTAGTCGTGTTTTTGTTCCGCTTGAGTTTGTCGAATTTCTGAACTGGCTCGCACTTTCTAACTCCATGCTTAATCCACTCATCTATGCCTTCTTCTATAGCTGGTTCAGGTCAGCGTTCAGGATGATCGTCTCTCATCAGAATGATAGTGTAACTGCAGTACTGGTTGTCACCTGACATGATGAAATCACCGAAATGTTACGCTATGTTTTTTTAGTAGGATTTGTACGTAATTGGACATTTTCTATCTGAGATAATTCATCAGAATGATAGTGTAATAATTGCTATAACGTTGTTTAGTGTAACGTATGGAATGGAAAATAAATGTAAGTAAACTCATATAATATTTATGTTTCATTTTAGTCTCAACAAAAAAAAAATAGAACAATTTTATATATACTTTTTGATATTATTTTGCACTTATTATCTAGTTACCTGGAGTTTTTTTCTCTGTGGGTGGATGGGAGTGTGTGTGTGTGTGTGTGCGTGTACAGTTACCTGCTCATCAGGACCACTAGTTGTAACCACTTGCACGTCGTCGCCACAGCGCCGGGACCATTCGCTTACTGACATGGAATCTCTGCAGTTCCTGGTTCTTCACCGTCACACTCGGCCTCCAGCTTTTGGCTCGACTGCTCATTCTCAATCTGTCTGTTACTGGCCTGTTACTGGTGCTGTATCTGCTCCTGGGTCCTCCTTTCCACACTTCTGAAACGAAAAAACATTTTTGAGTGTGAACAAAGCAGCACAACGAAAACAATGGAAATAATAACCGTGATGTATAAAAAGTAACTGGTGGATAATGATTGAAGAACAAAAGTCAGGAACAATTTAGTCAAAAAGCTATTCATTGAAGTGATGTGAGTAAGTAAGTAATGAAATGTCACACGGTAAATAAATAAACAAAAACGTAAACTGACAATAATTGTCGGATTCTCACATTTCTGATGGTACCTGAATGCACCACCTTCAGCACGATGTCATAATATGTGTGGACCTGTCAAACTGTTAACCCTAACACCTCACATTTACACTCTTAATATTATTATTTTTGCATCAATCTTTTTTATTATGTATTTTTAAGTGAAACAGATACAACAGGCGTGGGCAAACTTAGATAGATAAAGCGTTTGTATAAACAAAGACAAAAAATCACATGTAAAAGTTCATAAATGCTAAAATGCTAAAATGCTTTTAGCCTTCTCTACGCCATCAATTGGGTAAATGCAGGCACTGTAGAGAAATGGCAGAAGTATAATAATAGAAATAAATAACATAATTTAATACAAGTTTTGGGCCAGATTAAAAAGCCAAACGGGCTGCATCCGGCCCCCCGGCCATAGTTTGCCCATACATAGAGAAACAAGTGACACGGTTGAACAGTAGCCAATGCCATTCATTTGACCCCAATAATAAAGTCACGTAATTAATTTTGTCTCAGAAAACACTGAGCCAAAATCTGGTGCCCCTGAGCAAACATCTGACCATTATTAGATTTAAATGACAGAGGGCTGACTGACTTGGCAGTCAACGTTAACTGTGGTTGACCGAAGTGTGATTAGGAATTCCTCTGCTCAGACACACGTTACGGTAATGAAATGATGACACCGCGGTCTGTCACATTATTAGCAAATTCAAATTCCACTGCATACATTTCTGACGCACTGCGATCATAATACAGAACTTTGTTGTTTTTGTTTAATACTCGTAGGATTTGTAGGATTTCTAAAGACATAAATTAAATCTTTAAAGCATCAGCTCTGACAATTTCACCCCTTTAAGTAATGCCTTATTTTAATGCATTTATATTAATTATTTTCATGCTTATTTGATGAAGGAATCTTTCCAGTCTCTCTCTCTAGAGCAGTGGTGTTAAACTACCAGCATGGGGGCCACTTCTGGCCCACACAGCCGTCCCATTTGGCCCCTGAACAGATGAAAGTAATAATTTTGTAGTTTTTCCTTTTCCATATGTATTTTAATTTTTTTTTTTTAATTTTTAAAATTTCTTTAACAACTACGCAGTATTTATGTTTAACAAACAGTGTAATGACAATGGCAGTATAGGCCTCAGCTAATGACTGAGAGTGTAATGACAATGACAGTATAGGCCTCAGCTAATGACTGAGAAAAGTATTGAGGTTGTATTTTACTTTTGGTGCGTTGGATGAAGTTTTACAAACTGCTCATTATAATAAAAATAGTACATAAACAAGCACCTTGCAAATGGTGATCACATGGGAGAACCTTGGTGTACGCATACAAATGGAAACTATTCGGATTGGTTGAAGGACGTTATGGACTAAAATAACTAAGGGCGGTCATTATTTAAAAATCATGTCTATTGGCTTAGCCCGGCACAAGACTGAAACGCAGAGAGAAGTTTGAGGTAGGTGGTGTCATGACATTACGACAAACAGTTTTTTTCCTCCAAGACTTATTCTTGATGTTTTCATTGTACTAATACTGAAGGCTCAACTTACAGGGACTGGAACACATATGGAACCTGACCCGACTTTCAACGGGACCACCGAGTTTGACCTTTGCTACCATCTGTCGACGTATGCATTTTCAGAGAGTTCATTAGTATGCGTACTCGTATACGTCTTCCTGGGATCCGTGTGCCTCGTCACCGTTTTTGGCAATCTGCTTGTCATCTTTTCTATCATTTATTTTAAGCAGCTGCACACTCCAACAAACTATCTCATCCTCTCCCTGGCTGTGGCCGACCTGCTTATTGGTGTTTTGGTGTTTCCGCTCAGCTTTGTGTTCAACGTAACTTACTGTTGGTATTATGAAGACTTGTTTTGCAAAATACGAGGCTGCTTCGACGTGACTCTAAGCACGGCTTCCATCTTGAACCTGTGCTGCATTTCCATAGACAGATATCACGCAGGGTGTGAGTCGCTCACATACAGAAGTAAAATAAACAATCGTGTCATCGTGATCATGGTCTTGGTGAGCTGGGGTCTTGCTTGGCTTATTGGAATTGGTATCATAACCGCAGGTTTTAATCAGGGGAAATGTGAAGAAAACTGTTTCCTCGACACTCTAATCTCGACCACCCTGGCATGTATTTTCTCGTTCTATATCCCTGTCATTATAATGCTCTGCATCTACCTCAAGATTTTCCTGGTTGCACAAAGACAAGCAAACTCCATCCAGAATCAGGCCAGTCACTGCAATAAGTCCGGTGCAGCAGTCAGTAAGATGGAGAGAAAGGCCACAAAGATTTTGGCCACCGTTATGGGGGTTTTCCTGCTCTGTTGGACTCCCTACTTCCTCTACCTGATCTTTCAGCCTTTGACACACAGTGCGACACCGATCGCTGTGATCGAGACCCTTAACTGGCTCGCGCTGTCAAACTCAATGTTAAACCCATTCATATATGCCTTCTTTTACAGCTGGTTTCGGTCAGCATTCAGAATGATCATTTCGGGGAAAATATTTCGAAGGGATTTTGCAAACACAAGGCTCTTTTAAATGTAAATATATGTACGGTCAACATGACAAGTATATTTGCAGTCGGGGAACATTGGGTCTGATTTTGTTTTTGTATTAAAAACATACTGATTACATACTTACATACTACAGACATACTGATACTGATTTACTTCCAAAGATAGTATATGTAGTTTGGATTCATGACATTAGCGAATTAATGTTCCGTTGTTGTGGAGTTTCATTGTATTAACCTTACAGAAAAAAGAACACCACTCTTGTACGTAATGAGCCTCCACTGTATCTCTGTGGAAACATATATAAAACAGTGTAAGGAATAAATGTTGTTCATTAAAGCTGTTTCACACAAGAAATCCCTGAGTCATGGGCTTTCTCTATTCCTGTTGTCTATGTTGTTGTGACTAACCTTTACATTTTATTTTTGTTAAAACCATTGTTCAAGGTAAAACAATAATAAAATAAAACTTTAATTAAAAATAATTCTGCAGTGTGTCGTAGTGACCATATACTGTAAGAATAAAAATAATTCTGCAGTCTGTCGTAGTGACCATATACTGTAAGAATTTAAAAATACTGTGCCAAACATTTAATCACTACCCTAATATATAATGTATAAATTAGGTACTTTCAGTTCAGTACATTTATATTAAACTTTCCAAAGTAGGTAGATCACTTTTGCCTGGTCATTTTAGATCATTTTAGTAGATCACAAGCTGAATAAGTGTGGAAACCCCTGATGTAGTGGTCAAATATGTAATTGTCTATAAAAAATATTTAATATTTATTTAATATACAACATTATTTATGTGTGATCAAAATAATGATTTGGACCCTCAACAGTTGATCATAAACAGACATTGTTTTTTCCTTTCATTAAGTAGTTTAAACTAGGGATCCCTGACCCCTGGTCTGGTTCGTAGGTCATTTGATACCAGGGCGTAGAGAATCCTGTCATATCCCTTTTCTTTTTTCCAATCAATGTTAATCTGTCAATGTCTCAAAACAACAGGTCATTCAGACTCTGATCCTAACAGAATAATAAAAAGATATTTTATTTTGAAAAATGAATGATCCTTCAACGATGAAGCGGTCCGCAATAATGGCTGATATTGTAACCGGCCGATTGGTCCTTGTTACAGAAAAGGTCAGGGACCACTGGTTTTAGCAAAGCAAATACACTTTAGTTCCCACTGACCTTTAACTTGGGATTCACTGTGCACTCCCACTATCTGTTTGTTAACTTTCAGATAAGGGATTGAGTGCACATTAACTTTGCAAAATTTGCTCAACTGCAACTTTCGCCCTGGGAGTAAAGTTTATTTTCCATCAAAACAAAAACTGCTCCCTGTCCTTTGGTGGTTACATACACACACACACACAGACACACCTAATTTGCATGTAAAGTTAATGAGATAGTACGTTATAAAGTCGATGGTTTCTCTAAGAAGCTTCATTCAGATTAAAAACACCAAAGTCTGTTTGTCGTACTCTTTACGTGTTGTTTAGTTTAAGGTTAACTGAAGATCTCAGAGCTTTATCATCGAACTTTGATTGTGTCGTTGAACTTTTCTAACACTGCAGATCAATCCTTTGAACAATTTCAGAATCATGGATGTGGATTCGATTGCTCACGACATCCATCCCTGCTACGACCTGCGTAACACAACATTTATGTTTGCAGGTCACCCTTCCGTAGCGTGCGTTCTGGTTTATGTTTTTCTCGGTTTGCTGTCTTTCGCAACAATATGTGGAAACCTAGTCGTCATCATCGCCATCATTTACTTCAAACAGCTGCACACTCCTACAAACTACCTCATCCTCTCTCTGGCTGTGGCCGATCTCCTCGTCGGCATCTTAGTCTTTCCTTTCAGCATGGCCTTCACCGTTACCTCCTGCCTGTTCACCAACGACTTTTTCTGCCAAATCCGCGACAGCTTTGACGTGGCTCTGTGCACCTCTTCCATTCTAAACTTGTGTTGCATATCCATAGACAGATATTACGCCGTGTGTCAGCCTCTTACATACACGGTTAAAATGAGTGTTCCAGTCACAGCTGGTATGATTCTGGTGACTTGGGCCATCTCTGTGCTCATAGGGATCGGGATAATTGTTGCAGGATTCAGCCAGGGGACGTGCGAGGACACATGCTCAGTTGATGTTGTTTTGGCAAACACTATGGGACCCGTCTTCTCATTTTATGTGCCAGCTGTAATAATGGTCTCTATCTACTTTAAAATATTCCTTGTTGCTCTGCAACAGGCCAAAAGCATCCAGAGCTCCATGTCCAGAGCTGGAGCCGTCAGTAAGATGGAGAAAAAGGCCACCAAGACTCTAGCCACTGTTATGGGCATCTTCCTTCTATGTATGACGCCTTATTTTCTGTGCATAGTCTTTCAATCTCTGGCCCAATACCCCCCACCTACCCCTGTGATAGAGGCATTAAACTGGCTCACTTTGGCAAATTCAATGTTGAATCCACTGATTTACGCTTTCTTTTACAAGTGGTTCAGAAGTGCTTTCAAAGTTGTGGTTTCTGGAAAAATACTGCAAGGCAATTTTAGTAACACTACCTTAATGTGATGTTTGTACCGGCATGAAAAGAGTTTAACAATAATAATAATAATTTTTAAATGAAACACAAAACGAATGCTTCATGTATTGTTTAAATCATACAACAGGAAATAAATAAATACAATTAAAATACCTCAAATGTCTTACGCTACAAGAATTATCTATTGCTTGACAACGGAGTAAAATACCAACTATGGGTTAGTTTGTTTTTTCCAATAGCTGATAAAGTATGTCAAGTAAGTGCACATTTATTTTTTACATTTAACTGTATTTTACTGCAGGGTGTACCAAATATCAATTTTGTGGGGTTGGACGGTCAAATTTGGCAGGAAGAATGAAAACATCGATATTAAAAAATCAGTTGAATGACAATCTGATACCAAGACAGACAAAAAATATTAACTGTGTTTTAATTCTTCCCTGACGCTCTCTGTCATTGCTTTAAGTATGATGTTTGATGGGCCCTACTTGATATCTACAACTTTCACGGGTCTCTACTCTAAATATAATTTTTACTTGAGAACATGGCTATCTTTGTATCTGCCTTACAGCAGGGGTGTTAAACATAGACCTGGGGGCCAAAACCGGACCGCTAGGGGGTTCAATTCAGCCTGCTTCATGAATTTTGGAGGTAAAACAAATGCACTAAATGTTCACAATGTTTTGATGTTTGAAATAATAATTCATTAAATATTCATATTTATATCAAATATACTTCTACTTCTTTGCATTAAAACTAAGGGGGAAAACATGGACTTTTTTATTTTTAAGTAATTATGTTAATGATTGTACTGGTTCGGCCCACTTGACAGCCCACTTGAAATCTAATCAGGTTGTATGTGGTCTCTGAACCAAAATGTGTTTGACAGTCCTGGCCTGAAGCATTGGTTCTGGAAGCTCCCTTATGTCATCTAACACTACTTAAAGCTTTTCTATTAAAAAGAACTTAAAACGTACAAAACTATTCTTTCAATGAACGAAGGAAGTAAAATTACAAGTTGAATAAATGCGGAAAAAAATCTATGTTACAGTGGTTCCTAAGAGAAAAATTGCTTCAGTTTTCGAAGTTTTTTATGTTAACGACCGGCCTCCAGGAACAAATTTAGTTGGAAAACCGAGGCTCCACTGTATTGCAAAAATAAATGTATTGCCACGCTAACACATAGATGTCACAGAAGTTGTACAGTTGTTCCTTTCTGTCTAACAAACCCATACCTAATTAGTGGTGTGGTTAGTTGTCATGGTGCTCTACGTCACACAGGCCTCTCTTCAATATTCCAACAGTATTTCTAGTCCTGACAATCCTGCTCACATCAGAGATCCTTCGGAGCTAAAGGCCAGATCACATGATACCAAAGGTTTCTGATTCTCCTTAACTGATTGTCTATTGTATCTTTGTACCTGGTCCTGATTATTCCAAATGCATGGACACTAAAAATATCTCAGAGCAACTTCTGTCCAATGAATCAGGAAATGTGACTGTTATAACTGCAGGGATTATTTCATATATATTTGCATTTTCTGTGGTTTGTTATCTGTTCTGATTATGGGTGGAAACCTGCTTGTGATCATTTCCATCGTTTACTTTAAACAGTTACACACTCCTACAAACTACCTAATGCTGTCTCTGGCTGTGGCTGACCTACTCGTAGGTATTTTTACATTGCCTTTCACCATTATACTCTTTGTGACTTCATACAGTTCTGTTCAAGGAATACTTTGTAAGGTTCGGAGTGGTCTGGATTTAATTTTATGCGTTACATCAATTTGGAATTTGTGTTTTATTTCTGTGGATAGATATTACGCTGTATGTCAACCTCTGAGATACAGGAGTGAAATAACTGGCCGTGTTATTGGGATGATGATCTTGGCATCTTGGACTGTTGCCACCGCAATTGGAGGCACGCTAACATTTCAGTCCCCAGACATAGGGCAATCTAGCACCATGTGTGTTTTATTTCAGAATAAAATGCTGAAATCTTTATTACTTGGAACTTTGTTCGGATTTTGTATCCCAGCCATTATTATGAGTGCAATCTACATAAAGATTTTATTAGTGGCTCAAAGACAGGCCTGCAAGATCTTAAACATGTCAAAGTCTGGTACAACAGTTAGTAGGAGCGAAAGAAAGGCAACTAAAACTCTGGCTATTGTGATGGGTGTTTTCATGATATGTTGGGTGCCCTTTTTTATTACTATCAGCTTCCATGCTGTGAGCAATTACTCGACACCACCCTCTGTTGTTCATTCGTTCAAAATGTTAGGCTGGACAAATTCAATGTTTAATCCATGTGTGTATGCCTTCTTTTACAGACATTTCAGATTAACTTTTGGGATGGTTATCAAAGGGAAGATATTTAAAAATGATTTTTCTAACATGAGACTCTGACTTTTCAATTTTCACATACAAATACACAATCGGAATTTGGAAATATATGTGGAACTTCCTGTCACTGCCTTCAAAAACCCCTGGGGCTGCATGTTAAATAAAGCCACGGATATAAATCATTAGCAAATATCTTAGGAGATCATTTGAATGAATGATTCCTGCTTTTTTGGAAATAATAATTCATTGTACGATAAAAACATGTATGTTTCCACCTTTATCTCATCTTTAATGAAAGACGCACGGAAAAACAAAACTAAAAAACACATAAACATGTATTTACCCCGGAAATATGTATGCATCAATCATGGATGTAATATACTGCAGGTATGTCAATAAATGCATTGCCTATTGAATATATGCATTGAGTTTTACTTTGATTTTTTTTTACTAATGAAATCTTATTAGAATTTTATGTTCTACACTGTATTCATCCTGTTGAACTAATGTAGGGTTATAAGGTTATTTTGTATAGCCCGGATTTAACAAATGACTGTCACTTTTTGACCTTAAAGTGCATTCCTGTAATGTTTATATATTATGTAAAACTGAAACTTAGAAATAATGAACAGAGAGAATAAGTTTGTAAGGATTTTTGATAGTTGTTTTTCACCTACGTGAAGCTGGCACCCCCATCTTCCAAAATATTGAACTAGCGCTGTTGTTTGTCTGTGCTACGTTTGTGTCGTAAAATTTTCGTTTGTGCTATTAAGGCTTTGGAGTAATTAAAAAAATATTTTGACCTGTGACGTCACGCAGCCCCCCCATCTGCGTCCAAATCACTCCAAATTAGTCTCTATAGTTTGTGACACGTTTATGCTGGTTTGTGCTGTTTAGCTAAACATTAGTGCTTTTATGGTTTTTACAGTTTATTTTTTCACACACATGACGACACTTTAATACTGTGTACTATGTTTTTTCTACCGTGAGCTGCCAAGCAACGACATCTCATCCAACGTATGCACTGATGGTGTATTGTTAACAGTAAAACTTGACACATTAACTTGGTGTATTCTTGACAAAGAAAATGATTAGCAAAGAAAATGATTAGCACCGTATAAAAAATATAAATAAAATAAATGTATTGCCACGCTAACACAGAGATGTCACAGAAGTTGTACAGTTGTTCCTTTCTGTCTAACAAACCCATATCTAATTAGAGGTGTGGTTAGTTGTCATGGTGCTCTACGTCACACAGGCCTCTCTTCAATATTCCAACAGTATTTCTAGTCCTGACAATCCTGCTCACATCAGAGATCCTTTGGAGCTAAAGGCCAGATCACATGATACCAAAGGTTTCTGATTCTCCTTAACTGATTGTCTATTGTATCTTTGCACCTGGTCCTGATTATTCCAAATGCATGGACACTAAAAATATCTCAGAGCAACTTTTGTCCAATGAATCAGGAAATGTGACTGTTGTAACTGCAGTGACTATTCCATATATATTTTGCATTTTCTGTGGTGTGTTATCTGTTCTGATTATGGGTGGAAACCTGCTTGTGATCATTTCCATCGTTTACTTTAAACAGTTACACACTCCTACAAACTACCTAATGCTGTCTCTGGCTGTGGCTGACCTACTCGTAGGTATTTTTACATTGCCTTTCACCATTATACTCTTTGTGACTTCATACAGTTCTGTTCAAGGAATACTTTGTACGGTTCGGAGTGGTCTGGACTCTATTTTATGCGTTACTTCAATCTGGACTTTGTGTTTTATTTCTGTGGATAGATATTACGCTGTATGTCAACCTCTGAGATACAGGAATGAAATAACTGGCCGTGTTATTGGGATAATGATCTTGGCATCTTGGACTGTTGCCACCGCAATTGGAGGCACGCTAACATTTCAGTCCCCAGACATAGGGCAATCTAGCACCATGTGTGTTTTATTTCAGAATAAAATGCTGAAATCTTTATTACTTGGAACTTTGTTCGGATTTTGTATCCCAGCCATTATTATGACTGCAATCTACATAAAGATTTTATTAGTGGCTCAAAGACAGGCCTGCAAGATCTTAAACATGTCAAAGTCTGGTACAACAGTTAGTAGGAGCGAAAGAAAGGCAACTAAAACTCTGGCTATTGTGATGGGTGTTTTCATGATATGCTGGGTGCCCTTTTTTATCAGTGTCAGCTGCCATGCTTTGAGCAATTACTCAACACCATCCTCTGTTGTTCAGTTCTTCAAAATGTTAGGCTGGACAAATTCAATGTTTAATCCATGTGTGTATGCCTTCTTTTACAGACATTTCAGATTAACTTTTGGGATGGTTATCAAAGGGAAGATATTTAAAAAAGATTTTTCTAACATGAGACTCTGTTAATTCCTTCTGACATATCTTTTGAAATTTCAACTTTCACACACAAATACACAATCGGAATTTGTAAATATATGTAGAATTTTCTGTCACCGCCTTCAAAACCCCCTGGGGCTGCATGTTAAATAAAGCCACAGATATAAATCATTAGCAAATATCTTAGGAGATCATTTCAATGATGCCTGCTTTTTTGGAAATAATAATTCATTGTACGATAAAAACATGTATGTTTCCACCTTTATCTCATCTTTAATGAAAGACGCACGGAAAAACAAAACTAAAAAACACATAAACATGTATTTACCCCGGAAATATGTATGCATCAATCATGGATGTAATATACTGCAGGTATGTCAATAAATGCATTGCCTATTGAATATATGCATTGAGTTTTACTTTGAATTTTTTTTTACTAATGAAATCTTATTAGAATTTTATGTTCTATAATGTATTTATTCTGTTGTATTTATTGAACTAATGTGGGGTTATAAGGTTATTTTGTGTAGTGCGGATATAAACAAATGACTGTCACTTTTTGACCTTGAAGTGCATTCCTGTAATGATTATATATTATGTAGAACGGAAACTTAGAAATAATGAACAGAGAGAATAAGTTTGTACGGATTTTTGATAGTTGTTTTTCACCTACGTGAAACTGGCACCCCCATCTTCCAAAATATTGAAATAGCGCTGTTGTTTGTCTGTGCTACGTTTGTGTCGTAAAATTTTTGTTTGTGCTATTAAGGCTTTGGAGTAATAAAAAAAATTCTTTCTCTGACCTGTGACGTGACACAGCCCCCCCATCCGCGTCCAAATCACTCCAAATTAGTCTCTATAGTTTGTGCCGCGTTTGTGCTGTTCAAATGAACATTTGTGCTGTTATGGTTTTATTTATGTTTTTAGAGCTTCTGTTTTCACACGCGCATGACGACACTTATTAGTACTGTGTACCATGTTTTTTTCTACCGTGAGCTGCCAAGCAACGGCATCCCATTCAATGTATGCACTGCTGGTGTATTGTTGATTGACAGTAAAACTTGACACATAAACTTGGTGTATTCTTGACAAAGAAAATGATTAGCAAAGAAAATGATTAGCACTTTGCAATAGACAGTGAGGATTCCTGCATATACTGACGTTCTCTATCATTGCTAAGTATGATGTTTGATGGGCCCTACTTGATGCCTACAACTTTCACAGGTCACCACTCTAAACTTAATTTTTACTAGAGAACATGGCTATCTTTGTTTCTGCCTACAGCAGGGGTGTTAAACTCAAGGCTCGTGAGGCAAAACCGGACCGCTAAGGGGTTCAATCCAGCCCGCTCCATGAATTTTGAAGGTTAAAAAAATGCACAACGGCTCAATATTCATAATGTTTGAAAATTATGTCACTAAATATTAATATTTTCCAATACACAGTGGAAACTCGAGATACGAGCGTCTCGACATACGAGTATTTCGAGATACGAGTGAGGCTAATTTTTGCTTTGAGTTACACGTAAAGATTTGAGATACGAGCACGCTTACAGATACCGACGCTAGGTGGCCGAGCATTCGGAGCAGCCCACGCCGCTTCACTTGTTCACTTCACGTGTTCGCCGACTTCTGTACGCATCTCCCGTGGGTCTTCCGTATTGTGTTTGCGTTATCTCTCTATTTTGTGCATTATTCTTCATGAAAGTGATGAGTCCTAAGAAAGTGAGTGGGAAGGATGGTGGTGAGAAGAAGAAACGCATGATGACCATGGAAATAAAGTATGAAATTGTCGATAAATGTCAGCATGTTGGCTGCTAAAGAAAGAATTAGCACCACCCTTGCAAAAACACAAATACAGTGGGGATCAAACTCTGCAGTGTGCCCAAAGTATTGCAGATGCCATTATTTTGTTTTCTCTTATTTTGAAAGCGTAAATGATGGAAATAAAATCTAACTTTGACATCTAAGAATGTCTCATCTGTAATTTGATGCCTTTTGGAGATTTTTCCATCTTTCCTTGGCTTCTTTATGCACATTAATAACATTTTTTAGCTTGGGTGCCCAAACTTTCGATCCCCACTATATAGAGAGTATATACAGTCGGACCTTGGTTATCAAATTGCCCCATTTGTCGTACCATAACTCAGTTGCGTAGAAGAGACAATACCGCACCAGCAGCAAGGGATCACTAAGTGACTGAGCGTGTGGCATCAGTCCGCGCACGGAATATACGTACATGCTAAGAACTGTTGATTGATTTTACCGGTATTTCTTGTTTTGTGCCATCTCTGTTATTTTTTTATTTCATAAGATAAAATGTATCACTATGGAAAAGAAAAACAGTGAGAACAACAATAGAAGTGAAGAAGAATTATACGAAAGCATGAGGTTTCAGATCTGGCTTTACGGTATGGCTTAACAAAGTCATCGATATATCATCATTAAGAACAAGGAAGCAATAAAAGAAGCTAAGGTTTCCAAAGGAGTGACTGATCACCAAGCAAAGATTCCAGACATTAGAAAAAGTGAAAAAGGTGCAACTGGTTTGGATCAACGAAAAGAAGTTGACCGGTGGCCATATCTCAGAGACAATAATCTGTGAGAAAGAGAAGCGAACGTTGTGCAACGACTCTTCAGTATCAGTAAGGATGAATTAAATTATATAGCTTTATTCTTTATCAGTTGTGTTTATCTTTTTTGTTAAATGTAATTATGTTCATTGTTTCGTGTATGAACTTATTATTCAAAATACTTTTGAAAAAGTGAATAAGCAATCATCTGGGGTCCAGGAACAGATTACTCTATTTTACATTGATTTAATTTTTATTTTTGTTTTCAAACTTTTATGTTCACAAATGGCCTTCAGGAACAAATTAAATTGAAAAACCACCATATAAAAAATAAATAAAATAAATGTATTGCCACGCTACCACAGAGATGTCACAGACATTGTACAGTTGTTCCTTTCTGTCTAACAAACCCATACCTAATTAGTGGTGTGGTTAGTTGTCATGGTGCTCTACGTCACACAGGCCTCTCTTCAATATTCCAACAGTATTTCTAGTCCAGACAATCCTGCTCACAATGGTGCTCTACGTCACACAGGCCTCTCTTCAATATTCCAACAGTATTTCTAGTCCTGACAATCCTGCTCACATCAGAGATCCTTTGGAGCTAAAGGCCAGATCACATGATACCAAAGGTTTCTGATTCTCCTTAACTGATTGTCTATTGTATCTTTGCTCCTGGTCCTGATTGTTCCAAATGCATGGACACTAAAAATATCTCAGACCAACTTCTGTCCAATGAATCAGGAAATGTGACTGTTGTAACTGCAGTGATTATTCCATATGTATTTTGCATTTTCTGTGGTGTGTTATCTGTTCTGATTATGGGTGGAAACCTGCTTGTGATCATTTCCATCGTTTACTTTAAACAGTTACACACTCCTACAAACTACCTAATGCTGTCTCTGGCTGTGGCTGACCTACTCGTAGGTATTTTTACATTGCCTTTCACCATTATACTCTTTGTGACTTCATACAGTTCTGTTCAAGGAATACTTTGTACGGTTCGGAGTGGTCTGGACTCTATTTTATGCGTTACTTCAATCTGGACTTTGTGTTTTATTTCTGTGGATAGATATTACGCTGTATGTCAACCTCTGAGATACAGGAATGAAATAACTGGCCGTGTTATTGGGATAATGATCTTGGCATCTTGGACTGTTGCCACCGCAATTGGAGGCACGCTAACATTTCAGTCCCCAGACATAGGGCAATCTAGCACCACGTGTGTTTTATTTCAGAATAAAATGCTGAAATCTTTATTACTTGGAACTTTGTTCGGATTTTGTATCCCAGCCATTATTATGACTGCAATCTACATAAAGATTTTATTAGTGGCTCAAAGACAGGCCTGCAAGATCTTAAACATGTCAAAGTCTGGCACAACAGTCAGTAGGAGCGAAAGAAAGGCAACTAAAACTCTGGCTATTGTGATGGGTGTTTTCATGATATGCTGGGTGCCCTTTTTTATCAGTGTCAGCTGCCATGCTTTGAGCAATTACTCAACACCATCCTCTGTTGTTCAGTTCTTCAAAATGTTAGGCTGGACAAATTCAATGTTTAATCCATGTGTGTATGCCTTCTTTTACAGACATTTCAGATTAACTTTTGGGATGGTTATCAAAGGGAAGATATTTAAAAATGATTTTTCTAACATGAGACTCTGTTAACTCCTTCTGACTTATCTTTTGAAATTTCAACTTTCACACACAAATACACAATCGGAATTTGTAAATATATATATCATTTTCTGTCATTACCCCTTCAAAATCTCTGGGGCTGCATGTTAAATAAAGCCACAGATATAAATGATTAGCAAATATCTGAGGAGATCATTTGAATGATGCCTGCTTTTTTGGGTTAGGGTTAGGATTAGTTAAAAAACGCACAAAAAAAAAAAAAACAACTAAAAATGACGTCTTACGTGTTGACACTGAAAATATGTATAATTCAGTGATGTAATGTATTGCAGTTACATCAATAAATTAATTGCCTATTGAATAGATGTACTGAGTTTTACTTTGATTTTTTTTTTTACTTTATTAGAATGTTATGCTCTATACTGTATTGATCCTGTTGATCCATTGTAGTGTTATAAGGTTATTTTGTACAGTCCAGAATAAATATATAAGTTTGTAGAGATTTTTGATAAATGTTTTTCTCTACAACTATCATGACGTCATTTCTGTTACTAAGTAGTTTTTGTTTTTCATCAGGTTGTACAAACTAAAACGCAGGTCAGGTATAAACACACGGTACCTCAGGAACAACATGAGCTCATTCGTACCATTCCTGTAGTCGAGGGACTGAAAAGTTCACACCTCTAATGAGAGTCTCAGTGAGGTTACTAGTTTGCATAACACATTGCATCAGGCTGTAAACAGATTGCACACTGTAGCAGCATGAACTTGGAAAAGGTCATATTCAAAGTAATCACAGCTTTCTAAAGATTTGTTACTTTAAGAAGTTGAAACCAACCGATTTGGGTTACTAGCGACCTGAGATAAATGACAATAATATAACATTATGCGGTTTGTTTGTTCGTTTGTTGCACAGTTTAAGCTTCACATGCTAGCCCAAGGGAACCTATGGCTCGTGAGCCAGATGTGGCTCTTTTGACGACTAAACACAATAAGTAATAAATAATTTTGCGGATACTCAAGTAAAACATTACAGAAATTAAAGTGTTAAAATCATAATCATAATCATAAAAAAACATCTCTGTGTATTTTCATCGGCAGTGTCTATTTGCATTGTGTTAAATAAGCGTGGTAAAATCATCAGCTTGCTACGTCATCTTTTTTTCTGGCATAAAGAATAAAAACAAAGTCTGTCCATTTTGTAGCAACACAAGACACGTTTTGGGTTGATTATCAAAGGGCAGATATTTAGAAATAATTTCTCTAAAATTAAACTCTATTAATTTTTTCTTCAACTTGTGTTTTGACTAAAATACTTTACTTTGTTCACATTATGAATTCATATTAGAATAAACTTCAGAGAAAGTCAGATTGACGTTTACGTCATGGGTTACAGCTTCATCGTTACATTGTCAGGGGATAAATCAAACCAAAGAATACTTTGTTCACATTATGAATTCTTATTAGAATAAACTGAGAAAGTCAGATTGACGTTAACGTCATGTTTCATCATGACATTGTCAGGGGATAAATCAAACCAAAACGTCAACACAAGCGTAGTGTGATAGAAATCCATCAGATCTTAACTCACATTGACCTTTGCTGTTGGCTGCTGTTATTCCATCAGCTGTCTGGTCTGGAGTCCTCAGAAGTGGTCATCTTTTCTCGGCTGAAATTTGGCCTTGGACTTCCCAATTTCGTCATACACTTCAGCGATGTAGAGTTGGGTTTGTTGTTACTTCTGCACAAGATGGTTTAAAAAAGCGATAGCCACGTTCTGGAAGAAACACAGATATATTTTTAAATGTGCAAGCTTGCGTCTCGTCATCAAAAAAAAAAAAATTACTCAGAATAAGAAGACAGGCCTCCCCTAGTGGCCTGAAGTAAGATGTTATCGCTGGCCAAACACTGTAGCAGACAATCAACAGCTGGATAGACAGAAAACCATTTTGTACAAAAGGGGTCCCCAACCCCTGGTTCAGGGACCGGTGCTGGTCATTCGGTGGGAAACAGTGAAAACAGTTTTCACTGTGTCCCAGTGCGGCCTGGTTCCAAATGACCTGAGGGCCAGCACCGGTCCCCAGACCCCAGGGTTGGGTACCCCTGTCCTATATTATGATGTCACTGTGTTGGGGTAGGTGAGTGACATCGCTACTAATGTACAGTATACAAGTTCCAACTTCAGAAAATCAAAAATGTCAATGGTCTAACTGGTCTAAATCAGGGGTGTCAAACTCATTTTAGGAGGGCATCAGTTCCTCTTGAAAGGCCGGTTGTAACAGTAAGTTTTTTTTAATTTCATTAAGCTAAAAGCAAAAAAAGTGGAGGAGAACCAATGACAACAATGACAAACACATAGCCTATGTTGATCACACCTTTGAAAAATGAATATGCTAATGAGACGGGACACTATTTCTAATCCTGAGTCCCAGTTTGCCATCAGAGATACTAAGCTGACCACCAGCGGTAGAGCTCCACCGACTGGCATCGACGTTTCTCTAGCATTTCTCGTGCGGGTTTGCGCTATTGCTACGAATTTGTGGCCAATGCAAGTACGCAGGTGTCTATTGTCATTTATGTATGGAAAAGACTGATGTTGTTGCATTTCAGCTTCTCCCTAATGAATCCGAAACTGTTTTTGAAACAACCTCGGTGACTATTTCGTATCTATTATGCATTTTTGGTGGGTTTATATCAGTAGTCATCATGTGCGGAAACTCACTTGTAATCATTTCAGTCCTTTACTTCAAACAGCTTCACACGCCAACCAACTACCTGGTGCTCTCTCTGGCCGTAGCTGACCTGCTGGTGGGGCTTTTTATTTTGCCTTTCAGCATCCTGCTCTACGTGCGCTCAAACTGGCCTCTTCAAGGTGAGCTCTGCCGCGTACGGGGCGGCCTAGATATGTCACTGTGCAATTCTTCAATTTTGAGCTTGTGCTTTATTTCTGTCGACAGATACTATGCCGTGTGTCAACCTCTGAAATACAGGAATAAAATTAACATTCGCGTGGTTTGGGTCATGATTCTAGTGACCTGGACCGTTGCAACTTTGATCGGAGTTATTATCTCTTTGGCACCGGATAAGAATGCGGAGAAAAAGTGTGTTTTAATTCAAACTAAAGCATCGGGTTCGCTCATTATGGGGGCTGTTGTTGTATTTTTCATCCCTGCCCTCGTGATGTCCGCAATCTATTTGAAGATACTGACGGTGGCCAAGAAACAGGCGACGAGTATTGTGAAAATGTCAAAGCCGGGTGAAACAGCCAGCAAGATGGAGAGAAAGGCGACTAAAACGCTGGCTGTTGTAATGAGTGTTTTTTTGATTAGTTGGATGCCTTTCTTTCTCTGCATCAGCTATCAACCTTTGAGCAGCAACAAAATACCGCTCCATCTGATTCAGTCGTTTAAATGGCTCGGATGGTCCAATTCCATGTTAAATCCCTGTGTCTATGCTTTCTTCTACAGATGGTTTAGATCAGCCTTCCGGCTCATCATAACAGGAAAAATATTTCGCCATGATTACACTAACACTAACCTTTTGAAATTTTAATTCACATTACTTAAACTTATTATATAGGAGAAAGGAAAATTGCAGTATTTAATGTCTTTGCCCTTTCTTCTTGTACACATTTATTTAAAAATAAAATGTTCAGCTTTTCAGATCATAAACATGATATGTTATAACATTTAACGTGTATGTCATTATTATCCTTCTGCAGATACAACATCATTAGGGTGAACACCTAGGGTGAATATTTATTTATTTAAATATATATATATAT